GTAGTGGTAGTAGTAGTAGTAGCTGCCCACTGGAGATGGCCATGGGCTGGCAATTTTTTCGGCACAACCGAAAGCATGGGAAAAAAGTCACACTTTTTTCTACCTCATGCCATATGAAATATGTCAATTTCAATTTCGTTCTTCAGTCCGCTATTCGTTAATTAATTTTAATTTTCAAAAAGAAATTTATTTATAAATGCTAATTGTAAGAAGAAAGCATTATATGTTTTTCATTACATAAAGTTCTTCGTTTGGTTGAATTTCAAATAAAGATATAAAAACAATAATTGTATCGTTCTTAATTATTAAAATTTCTACATTCAAAAGCAATGATTGATACTGGGCAACTTAACGTTTTTAATCTAGATACAAAATTATTCAAGGCAACTGGTTTCAAAAGGTTGTGCTGCTATCAAAGTAGTAGCTTAAAAATTGTGTAGCCTTAACTTCTACATAATTTGTATTTCTTTAATCGAGAACAAACTTATGAATTCACCCTACCGAAATTTAATATATATTTTTTTATTTTCGCTTAAATAGTTTTGTATGTTTGTTGCACAACAAATGGTATTCAAACCAAATAAGATGTGACACGAGTCGTGGTCCATTGCCAGCTCTGTTGTGCACGCACAAAATGGTGGTTTGGGCGGAAGGACATACACAACTGCTAACTGTACACTAAAAATATGGCACGCTAGCTTCTCTGCGCTTTTCGCTACTGGAATGTGTGTGTGTCTGTGTGTGTGTGTGTGTGTGGTTGTGTGTGGGGCGCATTGTTGTAGTTCATATACTTACACAGACAGTCGCGAGTAAAAAGGTTGGACAGGGTATCTGGGTTGAAAGTCTCGAGCACTGGGAAATCGTGCTTTCGTTTATCAGCATGCAATTATGAAACCAAATACAAATTTCAAATTTATTTCAGGCTTGAAAATTACATTTCCTTCAGCAGGAAGCTGCCCTCAATTACCACTTTTTATTTGAAGACTAGGAAAGGTATAAAACTAGAAAGCGTTTTATCAGCGTATAATAATAAATATAATACACTGAAAATGCAAAACGATTTTATTACAAATTTTTTAATTTTAGAAATAATGAACCAAGCATGGCCTTTCATTTGAATTTGGGAAATTGTTTCATGTGACCATAAGGTAATTTGTTCGTCATATAACATGCTTGGCTTATTTTTAAGGCCATGTTTAGTCAAGTAATGTTTTTTGAGGGTATCCTCTTACACTTATGTATGTTTTCTTAGCGACTTATTGCAGATACCATTCTCCCAATTCCTTCAATGGGTATATGGATATCCTGTTAGCCAGGGTATCAACTGGTGACCCACCGCTGTTCGGTCCTCGTAACTGCCGGCTGCCATCGCTGTACAGTAGTTGTCGTTGATAGTTTGCCGCGGCTGCTTCCGCACTTAGCAGTACTTTGGACTAATTTTTAATGCCGCTCATATTTCGCGCACAGGAGCAGCCAAAACCGAAGGACCAACTGTGCATCTGCATGTCAGTGGGACTGTGAGTGCGACTGTGAGTGCGACTGTGAGTGTGAGTGTCAGCGTGATACAGGTGCTGGCAAAAGTAATTGGTCTAAGGAGTACCATCAAGCGGGGCCAAGCGATACTTCCTCCATCCGCTCATTCGTCAGCCGGCGATAGTTTTTTAACTTTCCTCATGTCCTGTCAAATTTATGCTCGAATGGAACAGGAGTGAACGTTTAAGTAGGGTTATTCTAGAAGAAGATACCTAAAACTCAGCTGGCATTATAAAAACAAAAAAAACTTAAAAATAAAATATATATATCAATGCTGTGTTAATAAAACTGGGACTTAAATAAAAAAAATTCTTTGTTAAAGTTTAAATTTACTTTTTACTGAATAGGAAAATGGTTCGTTGTTTTGGTAGATATTTCGGCAATTGGTAAGTTACTGATTCAGGACAAATAATTCATTGTCAAAAAAAGTTTTATCATCATCAGAGTATTGAACTAAAAAATTCACGGTTTACGATGTTGTAAAACGCCAGCTCAACTCATATACATATGTAGTAGTGCCAAAGTTCTTACGTTGTTGTCAGAAATCCAAAAATGATTCCTGAGTGACGGAAGATGAAGACTGATTTTGGTGATCCTCTGCTCCGTGCTGAGATTTCAGGATTCCCCAAATTGGGGCACAGTGCCGAGCCTTCAACTGCGGCAAGCACTGGGTGAAATCATTTCTGCAGACACTGCGCTGGCGACTTATGCATACATTTGTTTTTTTTTTTTTTTTTTTGGGACAAAAGTCGGGCGGCGAAAAAAGCGACAGGGTTTGTGTTTTGTGTGGCTCGTGTTTTTTTTTTGTTCCATTTTTGTTGTCGTGTTTGGCTTTTTCTTTTTTTTTTTGCATTTTGCTGTGGCTGCGGTTGACTCGAGATATTTATTATTGTTGCTGAAATTGCTGTGTATCCCCGCGCCGGCAGTCCTTTCTGCCTGGCCCCTCCTGGGTTGTCCTGGTATTTGAGCTGCTGCTGCTTCTGCTGCTGCTACTGCTGCTGGTGACGCATTTAAAGCTTTTGCATCATATAAATAAAAAACTAGCAAAGCGGAACAAGAAACATAAAATGAAGGAGCCGAGGCGGCAGTGGAAGATGCTGGCAAAGACAAAGGCTGGGTGGTGATAAAAGGACCGGCAGTGGGGACTTTAAGCTTCGGCCAGCGTGGCGAGGCAGAGCATCTGTGATGCGCCAATGCTTGATTTATTGGAGCCTGGCAGCCCTGGCAACCCTGGCAACCCTGGCAGCCCTTATCCGCCGCCCCATTCGGCCACGCCTACTTTCTGCGGACAGAGCGCCCCGTTTATTGTCGTCCCACCTCCACCAGAAATAAATAATCCTTTGGCTTGGCTTTTGAATTTATTATATTTGTTTTTGTTTTGCTCATTCTTTTTATTTGGCTTCCTCTTCGATAGTAGGTTTGATTACTATTATTATTATTATTATTATGGATTATCAATTTTTCATAGAATTTAGTTTGGTATTCGTTCATGTTTTCGAATTTGCTTTCATTTCGTTTAGTTTTCTTTGTAGCTTGCTATCTCATTATCGTTATCGTTATCGTTATTAATTATCGTTATGCACCTGTATATCTCATATTAAGCCTACAGTTAACATTATATATTTATAGTATAATAATGCAATGCGTTTATGATGGCTCTCTTATTTTCCCCCAGCTCGTTCTCTAGTTTAGACATAAAATAATGATGATGGAAACGTACTTAGGTCACACAATTATGCTATTTTACATTTAATCGAAGACATTATCGCAGTATTAACAATCGATAGTTTTTATATGTACTTTTCACTAGAAATAATGGATTACTTTGGTATTAGATTTGGGATTCTTATAGCAGCTTTAGGGTTGACAAGGAAATGCTTCTCATATTTTGGGTGACAAAAAAAAAAATTCGATATCTATTCGTTAGTTATATGTATATTTGTATGCCTAAGTGTTGAACTATTGCACGTGTCGTGTGTGCTTTTTCTCGCAATGCGAAGTCTAATTGAAATATCAATTCTCCTGGGCCTTTAGAAAGGATATGCAATAACACACACACACACACACATACGCGCACACACACACACACACACACACACACACACACACACACACACACACACACACACAAACAATTTGCTTGGAAACATTTTTCATTTGCTACACAAATCGTTTGATTTGTTTTGTTTCATTCGATTTGCCTGAAATTGTTGAACAAATTGTTGTCAACTTACATTTAATTTTCCTTCTGAGGCCAACTTATAGATATAGTTGGGCTAGTTGGGCTTCGCTATAAATGTACATGGTAGTTGTCTTCACAAATTAGATAAGCAAGTTAGTAATTGATAAGAGTTGTCCACCTGTAACCTGTTGATATGTACAGCCTGCAGTGCGGGAAAAGGGCCACCGCCCATTCCTTAGATCTGTGAGTTTGTGGCATTGCAAACATTTTATCACATATTTATCCATATAATTATAGTGTGTGCTCCGTATATAGCGGACTCGTATAGTTTCACTCGATTTATAAAATAAGTACAAATGCGTGTTTGGTTTGTTTGTTTGGTTTGTTTGTTTGTTTGTTTGTTTGTTTGTTTGTTTGGTTACTGCTAGCTTTAGAATAGCTATCGTAGATACAAAGATACAAGATACAGTGGCATTAATTGACTAGACTTGCTATGCATATATAAACCCATCCATATACATACGTTATCCATCTGGCTAGGTAATGCAGATTATGTCTCTGCTGGTTGTTTATTTTCACATATATAGATGGTTGTATAAATAGCATCTTTATTAATTGGCCAATAAATATCCCAGTTATTTATGAACTATCAACTATGCAAAAAAAAATGTTTTCCGTACATATAACTATGTTTATATATTTAACTTGTCACATATACAAATACAAATACATATGCTTAAATACGCTTACATTGGATTTTGTCCATGCCGTCGTCCATATGTGTTCACTTTATGATTTACACACATTCGACTGGAAATTTGATATAATAATTTACTGTTCAATCCGCAGTCCGCATTTTGCATTCATATTTCGCATTTCGCATTTCGCAGATTGCTTCCCGCGCATTTCGCAATTCGCATTTCGTATTTCGTATTTCACATTTAGCGCAAACAGAACGAAATGGCAACAGAAACGTTAACGTAAACAACTAACAAACAAATGTTGTTGGCCCCTCGGGCCCAGGATATGCAGGATGCAGTATCCTGGTTGCAGGATTAGCCCAGGGTTCAGCTTTTTTTGGGCCAGGATGGCAAGAAGGGAAGTTCGAGCGACATCAACAGCATCGGCATCGGCATCAGCATCAGCATCAGACACTCAGATTTCGCATGATGATAGCAAAACTGCAGCGTTTTACATTTGGCAATCTGTAGCTTTTTACTCTACGATGCAAATACATAAACATCACGTGTAAATATAGCAGATGACAGATACCCAGGCAGTCAATAATCAGAGGGACTTTAATGGATGGGGAGATGGGGCTTGAATTCGGTTTCCGCCTCAATGATCTTGAGCTGAAGTCTGCAGTTCTCTGGAAAAAAAGCAAAAGAGTTTCGTAACAATGATCAGCATTTGTGGGGACAAAAGTATACATATATTTGCATGCATCTACTTGTTATTTTGCACCTAAGAAGATGTCTTACAGTACAAGCCTTTATTTTCGCAGCAAACCGCACATGAAACATAGCACTAAGAGATCTTAAAAAGTATACGAAAAGTTTACCAACAGAGTTACCCCTTAAGTGAAATCTCAAGTCTGAATGAAGTTTCAGTAACCCGGCGCTCTGACTTTTGGAAGCCTTTAAAGTTTACAGTTTAAACTGATTCGAAACGCAACTTGTCAAGTAATAAACAAACTGTTCAGTCGAAAAACTTGAGAAGCGAGTCCGTTTAGCTCGTTGAATTGGCATTGGCAGTTCACAGGGTCCCAACTAGTTGAGCTCTTGAAGGGACATTCGCCATTTTTATACTACTACTACTACTACTACTACTATTATATGTGTGGGTTCCTTTGTCTGTGTGTGAGTGTGTGTGTGTTTTTACAACAATAAAACGCTTCGTTGTCATAGCTCAAGCAGATTGATGTTCAACACAGCATTTTGCGACTCGCAGCAAGGACGAATGCGGAATGCGGAGGGTGGTGCCCCATCCTGCAGGATGATGACGATGTCATCATCGCAACAAGCAACATTCGAGTGCACTTACATGCCTATCTATCGTATATATCGTATATCTATATGAGCAGATATATCTGTGTGCGGCCATCCCCTTGACATTGGTACGTCCTGGATGTCCTGGTTGTCCTGGTTGTCCTGGAAGGCCTGGCCTGGTCGAGCAAGTGCAGTGCAAAGTTGGCGGCGCCTTGATTTATGTCCCAGTTGAACGTCTGTCTGTGGGTCGATGGTCTATGGTCTCTGGACCGAATCCCTCCTCCTTTCTCCTTTGGATTTTCGGGCATGGCAATCTCTCTATGGAGTTTACTTGAATTGTGTACACACTCGCGGCTTGTTTGTGCTTTTGATTTGATTTATATTGCCGACTCAAGAGCATGAAGATGTTGTTGATGTGGATGGTGGATGTGGATGTGCATGTGGATGTGGATATGCATGTGGATATGCATGTGGATGGGAATGTGAATGTGAATGGAGGATGACGAGGATGATGATGATCTCTGTCTGGTGTCGGCTTGTGAGTGAGATGATCGGGGCGGATTTAGATATTTGAGCCACAGTCGCACCGACATGGCTGACAGCCAAAGCACTTAGACCCTGGCTCATGTGATTTGCATGTGTCACATCAGGTCACATCTCAAAATCTCGAATCTCGAACCTCGAATACCGAATACCAAAGCCCGAAGCCCAAAGCCCGAATCTGGCACGCACCCGGGCAGCAGAAAAAGAAAAGTTTGCCAACTGAGACAAGTGGAGCCTCGGGCATAGGCGATTTTTCAATTAGTTGGCAGTCAGGCCTCCCCACCCCTCCCCCCCAGCACCTCATTCCAATCCACTCCACACTGACATCTACAAATTTTACCGGGCTTTGGGCCGTGAGCTCAACAGGAAAGTTGGAGCAAGGAGCTCAAAGTGGGGAGCATGGAGCGTGGAGCGGGGCCACAGGCAACAGGAGCTCAAATCCTACATAATTAAAATACTTAAAGGCTTTAAAGGCAGCAGCAAAGTTTTTAACTTTTAAATTGTTGAGCCTGGCCCCTGATGTTACCTTCCCAGCCCTCTTCCCCTTTTTTCCTGCTCTTATTGAGTTTCATTGTAGCATACAAAAGGGCGCACATGTGTAGAAATGCTTTATGGGTTAAGAGGGGGGAGAGTGGAGGCTTTCGGGGGTTAAGCGGGGCCGAGTGGGTGTGTGGGGACTGAACTCACTAAGCTTACTTAAGCATTTTTGCCCCGGCCTCGACTGTGTCAGTCGCAATCTTAGTCTCAGTTAGCGGCCAAAATCGCGCTGATAAAGTTGTTCCGTTGCTCCCAACTCGACCTTCTGCTTTTAACTCCCACTCCCACTGCCACTCCCACTCCACTACCATTTTCGCTTGAACTGTGAGTTATCGAGTCTGACAGGCGGCAATGGGTTTTGAAGGTGAGGGCATTCTGCTTCGGGTCCCTCTTCTAATGCTTCACCACCTTGGCTGGGCAGAAATTAACAAAATGGATACATTTTGACCAGTTTAACTTTAATTAATCAACAATAAGCTATCATTTACGTTCTCCTATGTAAATCCAATTTCTATTGCATTTCTTTTATAATGTTAAGCTTGGATTTAACTAAATATTAATAACATAAAAATGCTAATATAATAATTCACAGATTTCTGGAAAATAATTTTCTTGGTAAACTGTAAGCAAATTCAATTTTTTAAATACCAAACACTTTATGTGGCATGAACACCGATTTTGGTGAAGAAAACAAATTTCTCTATATTATTTTTTCTTTATTCCTTACACATTTATCCAAAATAAAGGCTATGGAATTAGAATAAATGAGTTTTTTTTTTGCTCTACCTTACAAAGTAATGTTATAAAGGACTTATATAGTCGATAAAAAATAGGTTTAACCATAAAGACATCCCTTGTTGATGAACCGCCTAACTTTCTGGGAGCCTCGGTAATTAGTTTTCCATATTTTAGAATCCACATCTGGTCACGTCAATGCCCCGGCCCTTTTACCCACCCCTGCAAACAAAAAGCCATGGCCCGCATTGCTCATACGCCCGGTGTGCCTGTGCTTGACTATATGCCGTTCGACTCACTACGGGGGACGTTAATTGACAGGACACCCACATAGATTTTCATAATTTTCGTTATTAGATAAACACACACGCACACCAAATTAGCAGCTGCTGGTGAGGTTTGGGGTGCTTAGTGAGGGGTGGTCGGTCATCCGGCTGCATACTTTATTAGATTTGGGTTTAACCCGAGGTCGTCTCACCACCTCCCTATTTTTTGCCCGGACAAGTTCACCCATCCCAATCCCGTCCAACCAACTTCATTCCCGTCCATTGGCGCCTCTTTTCGACCTCGACCTAACGATTTTGCTTTGTCATTTGGTCGTTTAATTATGTGCATGGAAATTTATGTGCGACTCCTTGACTTTAAATGAAGTGTAAGGACCAATGCCAATCCTTTTCCGCCGCCAGCTGTTGGCCGCCTCGCTTGCCGCCTCACTTGCCGACTCCCAACCCCCGACTCCCGACTACTGACTCTATACCAACTGCTAAATCGACCCCGACCTTGGACCTAGACTTCGGCTATGGACCTTACTTTCAGTTATTTATGGTGGCCTCGAGCCTGATAATACACAGAAAAGTGCAGAGAACGGAGGGCGTGGGTGAACGTGGGATGGCGGCAGCAGAAAGACTGGCTGATTAAATTTTGTATTAGCTCAATAAATTCTCAACCAGGCAAATGTGTATAAAAATGCCCTATGACACGCAAATGGACGTCGCTTAACGCGCCACTGGCCGTTGTCATATTTCAGGCGCACTCGACTAGACTCTTGTATCCATTGTGGCCGGGCTCTAATTTATGTCGCTGGTAATTTGCCACAGATTTCTGCACTGTGGCGGGGTAAAGGGTTGCGACGGGCAAGTGGGCAAGTGGGCAAGTGGGAAAGTGGGCAAGTGGTTGGGATCCGTTTGCATATGATGAGTAAGCAGTGATTCGACCAAATGCTTGGGCGGGCCAAGAGATACACGTTAATGGGCAGCTTAGATAAAGATGATGGAGCATTGCCTTTTTGGAGAGGATTATTCCGGATGGGTTCTCGAAAGGAAAATATCGGAAAGTAATAGGGGAAGCTAACCCCAAGTTGGCTTAAATACACACATCCGCTCGTTAATGACACAAGTTAACCACAGCGTTTGCCGCCCACGGCTATATGGCAATCGGATAACGGGCACACTTACTGTGAGCAATCTGCTAAAGACTCCTCGGGCGCTATCGAAAAATACCACACCACACCACACCACAGCACAGCACAGCACGCCCTCTCTCTAATCCAGTCCTTTCAATTTGCAAACTCTCAATTGCATTTCAATTTTCGCTACACGTTTTTACAGCTCGTCGTCGATGATTTTATATATCGCCCTTCACTTTCCCATGTTTGCTCTGCTCCGGACCTTGGCTGAACATTCATCACATCCAGATAGCTAGATATATAGACATGTAGACATATAGACGGGCAGATCGATGGATAGATGGATAGCGGTGGACTCAAACGGATGAGCGGAGCCTTGATTCGGGACTCCAATTTAAGCTTCTGAATGGCAAATGGCAAATGGGAAATGGGAAATCCGGTGGTGACGGCAGCCACCTAGTCCTGATGTTGGCCTCGCGTTAATTACGCGACTTTTGCTGCGGTCGCCTATTTGCTGATTGCATGACAGCGGCAACGTTGGCCGAGGCACGCACGACTTACGCCCTTCCGTGGCTGCCACATGCGGCATGTCATGGCGTGGCATGGCATGGTCCATCCTCACCCAATCCTCACCCAATCCTCACCCAATCCTCGAGCTCAGCTCATCTGCAATGCTCGCATCGCTCCCAGAGCCGAGTTAGTCACGCCAATTTTATTGCATTCCAGTTTCAGTTCCCGTTCCTGTTCCTCTTCCTGTTCCTCATCCTGTTTTCTGTTTCTGTTTCTGTTTCTCTGTCTGCCATAGGCGTTTGCCAAAGGGGGGCGGCTGCTGTACGGGGGCGTGGTCACGGCCATTCACGACTATCAGTCGCAACAATAGCGTTGGCAGTTTTCGGATTTCAAGCGGAACAATTAAGTTAACGATCTGCGGACGAGTGCCAAAGCGCCAAAGAGCAAAGTGCGCCTACAACATGGGCGTCCATGTCCTCGGGGCGGGCGCATGGTGTCCCAAGTGGGCGTGGCAGGACGAAGGGGAAACGTGTTTAGCCAGCCACATTGGCGACCATCGCACGTCCATGTCGTCCTGCCAAGCGAAAGAGTAAATTTAAGTCTTTAAGCGGTCTGGTCGCATCCTGCCTGCCGGCTGCTTGTCCTTCAATTAGCCAAAAAACTGATTAAGTGAATAGGCCACATCTAATGTGGCCAGCAAGGAGCAAGGAGCAGGGAGCAAGGAGCCAGGAGCAAGTAGGACCATGCAAATGCAAACAGAAGTGCACACAAAAAATGTCCTTTTTTGTACTGAACTTTTTAGCCCCGCTTCAAAATTTCTTCCGATTCCTGCCCCTTATTTAACTGAGGAAGGACTGAAAAGTAAACAAAGTTTTAATTTCCCTCAATGATTTCTCTGGGCATTTGTTTTAGGCCAGCCAGGATTCGAACGCCTTTCCCTTTTCTCCTGCGAGGCAAAGACGAAAGACGAACGGCGCTCTGCCCCGGCCTCATAATCAAGTTAGATAAATCTAAATCCTTTGCGATAAGCGGCTGAAGAATAGCCTGGTACCGCTCCCAAGGACCCAACGTCTCCATCAAAGTTGCTCCGTCTGCTCCGGCTGCAAGGCCAAGTGGGTTGGCCCATTGGGTGGCCCGGGGGCTGGGCATCTTTGGACTGCCGACTGCGGACTGTGGACTGTGGACTCTGGAGTGGGGCTTCGGCTACGAATTAGAGTGCCACAGTCGGGCGAGTGAATAGAATTTGTAATTTCCGTTTTCGTTTTGTATGCTAACCCGAGAACCCACCCTGCAGCACAGCTCTTAAAGCGCTCCACAATGAAACTGTATCCGGGAACTGATGTTGCCTGCAGTTCAATTGGTTTCGGGGGCCAGCGGATTGGATTGGATTGGATTGGACTGGCTTGGGCTGCGTGGAATACTTATGACGATGACTAAACACTCTGTTGGCCATGTTTGCCATTGCATTTAAAGATGAGAGGCTATTGAAACCATTTCCCATTTGCCGGCTGGCCAAAGGGAACGGACAAAGTGGCCGGAAGCCAAATTTTGTGGCTATCGTGAGTTCTGAGACAAAAACTGAAACAGAGCAGGTGTCGCCAGACTTTGGAAAGACCTACTCAGAAAAAAGCAGTTCGATATTGAATGTATGTTCGTAAGTCACATCCTAATTAGATTTCTGTACGTTTCGAAAAGTTTCGGAAAACGAGAAGAAGTTTTAGATTGTGCATTACCATGAAACATGCAATAGGGCATCTAAACATTTTACAAAAGAACTATTGTTGATATCGTATGCTATAATAACTTATTATGATTAACAAGTTCATAAAAGCTTTTGCATTAATTTTTCTGAGCCCTCAGTGAAAGGGTTCAAACTTCACATCCGGCTTGAAGGACCTGTGCAGTTGCTAGATATATTCAACGGCTATTTAAATCGTTTTGGAACGGTTAAAAATCTTGTTTTCTCCGGTAATCTTAATACTGATTCAATAATATTGATTCAATAAATAAAATGTATGGAGTTTTTCGTTTTGGAAGGTATTTTGGTAGCTTGAATACCAACAGCAAAGTAAAAATTGAATGATAAGTTCCTAAACCTATTTTGAATTGGCTCAGATAAATATGCTACGAATCTAAAAGAAATGTCTGTTATTTGTGTGAAGAATGTTGGGTTACCTACCTCCGGTGGTTGGTGCAGGAGACCTCCGCCTAATGGTTCTTCCGCCGTTTCCGGCGCCGTCGCCAGGCCACGTGGCCGAGGAGCTGGCCCAACCGATGGGCCAGGAAGCGGAAGTGGCGCCACTCCGCGCAGCTTGCCACCGCGATGAGCAGCATCGAGTTGATCCCGAGGGCCAGCGAGGCCGCCGAACTGCCCAGGTTGCCCTTGGTCAGCTGGTCGGAGCAGCGGCCAATCGAGTCGATGTCCAGCTCGCTCATCACGCGCCCGTTGACCTCCAGCGGCGAGATGCAGTAGTTCTTCTGCAGGAAGTCGCTCAGGTTGTGGGCCCCCTCGGCCAGCGGTCCGTCGAGCAGGGTGTGGATGTGGCAACCACAGGGGAAGTGGTTGCTGACCAGCTGCAGGTGCTCCACACCGTCCACAATGATGGCGTTGGGGTCGGGCGTCTCCAGCACGTGATTGCCGAAAAACTTGAGGTGCTTGATGGCCGCCGTGCTGGTGAAGTTGAGCTCCTCGATCGAGTCGATCTTGTTGTTGAGGACCTGCAGCGTCTCCACCTGGGTGAGTCCGGTGAAGGCGTCCGCGCAGATCACCCCCAGATCGGATTCCTGCAGCGTGAGCAGCAGCACATTGGACAGGCCGCGGAAGGTGAAGGGCGCCACCTCCTTGAGGTCCATGTAGGCCAGCTTCAGCAGACCCACCGTGTCCATGCCGAAGAAGGCGTCCTGCTCGATGCTGCGGATGCCGGACGGCAGGATCAGGTGGCCCACGTTCGTCAGGCTGGAGAAGGCCGAGCTGTCGATGCGGATCAGCGGATTGTTGGTCAGCAGGATCAGCTTGATGTTGGACGTGCCCGCAAAGGCGTTGCCCTCGATCCGCTGGATCTGGTTGTGGCTCAGCAGGATCGTGGACAGGTTCTGCAGGCCGGCGAACGCGAACTGGGCCACCAGCTGCAGCGGCGTGTACTGGATGGACAGCTCCTTGAGGCGCGGCAGTCCGCGGAAGGCGAACTGCCTGATCCGCGTGATGTTGTTGCCGTCCAGCGAGAGCTTCTTCAGCGCCCGCAGGCCGGCGAAAGAGTCCGGCTTGATGATCGGGAAGTTGTTCTTGGTCAGCGCCAGGTTCTCCACCGTCGCCGGCAGCTGGCGCAGCGGGATCTGGTCTAGGCCGCCCGTGTTACACAGCACCTGAGGACAAGCGGTTTGCATTGGTTTATTGCACTGATACAAATTAATTAAATGAAACACAAAATCATAGTATAAATACAACGCATTTTAATTTGCAAGACTTAATTTTAGAATTATTAATAACTGTGGAAGGTACAAGTCTTATAATGGGTCCCGTTTGTTTAAAATTCATTTCATTTATTGTAAGTTTAATTCATTTTTATTTTTATTTTGAAAAAAGTCCAATACATTGTTACAACCAATATGTAATATTTCTATTGTTAAAGTAGCTGATCCATTGCCTTCGAAACCGAAGCGAAAAATGAATGAATTACTTGGATTTACTATGCTTTTTTCGGTTCGGGCAAACTTGAGAGAATAGGGCCTTTGCAAGATACGCCCATCAGGAATCGACCTATTTGCATATCCTAGCAGAAGAAACTATAATTACATTTTTTACGTTTATGACCCAATTAAGTATATATATTATTGATCAGCCTCACAAGGAGAATTGCTCTAGGCATGTCCGTCTGTCCGTCTCTCAGTTTTCAAAAGTATTCTTTTTATTGCAAATAATATATATGATGGAACGGGCCTAATCAAATGACTATATAAAATACATAGCTTCGTTGATTATTAATTTATACGAATATACACAGAGATTGAGTTGTGGTTTACTATTTTAGTGTTTTTGGTACAAGGTGCAAGGGTATATCCAACTTGTTTTTTTTTAATATATAATATTAAAGTAAATGTTTTTTAAAGCAAGGCTCTAGTTGGCAGAAAATTGCGAATTAGTTACATTTAGTATATTTTATCTGAGAAGAGAAAATTGACTTAATATGCAGGTCGAACCATTATTTATCATTATATAAGACATTTTCGAAGTTGAACTACGTCGTTAAAATGAGTTTTTCTTTAATTAGATTACTTTTTGGCCGACAAAATTTGGTTGTTTGCTTTTGGCTACTTCCTTCTTGCTGTCTTCTTTGGGTCACCTTTTGATGTTACATTAATTCAAACGCCGGGAACGAGGACCCCTGTTCTGCAATGTGGGAACCCCCATAGGTTGGCTTTGTCAGCGGCGGACTCATCGGACTCATCAAAGGTTTTCGCTCTTAATCAGTTTGTGTGTCCCTGCTTTATGACAGTTCCCCGCCCGTTTTCCCGTGGGCGCCATTGATACCTCCACGCCATGGCAACTGACAGCCGTTGGGCAATCAGATCAGACGCCACATCGGCCACGGCACGAAGGACCAGGGACGAGGGCAATGGCAATGGCGATGGCAATGGCGATGGTTTAAGGACGACGGAATGGGACTTTGTTTGATGCGTGGCGCGAAAATTGAATTTGTGGCTTTATTGCTGAAAATAAAATTAAATCGAATTCTTGTTTTTGGCGGCGCTACGGAGCGAGTCCGTGGTTTCTGGCGAGAGACCCTTGTCTAGCATTGTTTTTCGCACATCCTTCGCTCTCGGTCTTCGTCCTTTGCGCCTTTGCATTTTTTGTATAACGTTTATGTGCTGATGTGTGCGTTTTCTGCCAAGAATTTCTTGGTTTGCACTTGGAGAAAAAGAGGGAAATGTACCAGTGATCTAATGAGTTATATATTCAAACTATAAAAAACTTGTAAAAAAAAAACAAATAATTTAGATGTTAAATATTTGATTCATTTGCTTTAAAATGTTTTCTAATGCAGTAATAAGCAAAATCAATTATTTGACTTTAGACTTTAGTTTAGACTTTCAGAATTTTATATAAGTTACCAACATATTTTTGATTTCTTTATGATGTTTTGAGCTATTACCCTATAAAACTTAAAATTTGATTGCAATTATTGAATAAAGCAAAGGGTAAGTGCTTTTAAGGAATTAATTTTTTTTTTTTTTTTTGGGTCCACGAAATTAAGTTTTTGACAAGGACACAATCTGCGATAGCTGTGCTGAGCATTGTGTTGTTCCTGGCTACAGCGAAACAATTTGCGAGTGTATGTTTTGGAGTGTACACTGCACAGGCTCCTTTCCGGTCGCCAAGTTAACTGTGCATAACTGTCCATCGCCTGTCACGTTCCTCTTGACCCCGCCCACCGGTCTCCAGTCCCATCTCACCTGATTTTGCCCAACCTTGGCTGCACTTCTTGCGTAACATTTGCACAATTTTCATACGCTTCACCTTTTTAAATGAACGAATTAAAAGTTTTCTTTCCTTTTGGGCAAGGGTCTTGCCTTTGCCTTCCCCTTTCCCTTTTCCTTTTCCTTTCCCTCTCCCTTTCCCTTTCGCGCCAAAAAACCCCCCCCCAGAATTGTTATTTTTGCCTCAGTTACGTTACGTTCTGATTCGGCTCCGTTCAGTTCAGTTCAGTACAGTTCAGTTCAGTTCAGTCTTGTTCTGTGCTGTTCTCTGCTGTGCTGTTCCGTTTAATGAAATTTCGTTTCTATGCATTCACAGTCGCGAATTCAAGCGACACGGTTAAAAAGTCCCTTGTTCGCTGAACTTTAACTGGCACTGTCGGTTAAAGAGAAGGAAAATGTAGAGTAGAGAACGGTGCACGGAGAACGGTGCACGGTGAACGGTGAACGGAGAAAGGCGAACGGGGCCTGACCCCAAAAAGTGTGCTTCACTTTTGTTACCTTTTTTGGGGCCTGAACTAATTTCGCCTCTTCAATACAGCAAACCGTACCGCACCCAAAAAAAAAAAAAAAAACAAAAAAAAGGGCAGAAAAAGATAAGTGGAGAACGAGAGCTGAGTAAATCATTGCATTGTCTATAATCCGGAATAATGAAATCACTTAAGTTCTCAATTTGGTAGAAATGACGATGCCAAGTTCCCTCTGGTAATAAGGATGCGCATTAAGCGTGCTCCAAAACTCTCGCGGGACACCATTGAATACGGCCACACACAAAAGTGTGGGGGCGATGGGCGGTGGGCGGTGGACGTGGAGCCTGTAGGCGTGGCACACAAGAAACTCAGACAGACGCAGAAACAAAAGGAAAATAAACCATTTGCCTGCATTTTCGATTAATTTTCCGTACTCATCACTGTGCCGACGAGACCGGAGCATCTGTGGCCATTGCCTGACCACCATTTCCCCAGAGAGATCCTCCCGATTCTCCTGCTCCTGCATCTGTTCGAGCTCTTTCTCCATTCTCCAGAGTCCTTTCTCCTTTCTCCTGTCTCCTGTCTCGGGTCTCCTCCTTTGGCCACTGCCACTGCTGGAGCTGCCGATGATGGTTCTGCATTCAACTCCACCGCACTGTGGGCCGACTACCTCAACCAATACCAGGTCCAACTTAAAATAGTTAATCTGAAACCTTTGAGTTGGGGCAAGTTGCACTTGTGTTTAAGCCTGCTTAAATATTTTATATCAAGTTCTGTTGCCAATGGTTTTGTGCTAGCCAAAAACCTAATTAGCCATACCACACTACTTCAAAATACAACGAGAATGGAAGTTAACTTCAACTATGCCGAGAATCTTTAACCTTGTTGTAAGCACAAATTGAATAATAAATAGATCAATTTATACAGATCGCATAGCAGTGCCGATTTAAGAAAATGGTAGTGCAAATGTAATATTTTAGACAACAAAATTTCAGAAGCCAAATTGGTTTGCACTTTAAATTTAACTTTGTGTCTATTTCATAGCTCTGACAAAGATGTGTTTCGATTCTTTTAGATTCGAGGTGGCGGGTGCTCAAATGAGCTCAATACTTAGACGATGTGATCCCAATATTGTTCATCGGCCACTTTGTTTTTATTAGTTGCGTATACCACTTTTTTATGACAAGCCGGTGATGCTGTCGACAGCGCTTGTTAGTCACATAAGCCTATTAATAGAAGTCAATATTGAAAATGCTGTCCTGTCACTTATCCCACAGAGACTATTAAAAACTGAGTTAAACAGAGCCAAAAATTTTCATTTGCAAGCCATACACTGTAAATAAACCTAGCCTGGGAGCCAAAGCAATGTCTTAACTTTCGACTTGATTTTTTTAATCATTTACATTAAGCGACGTTTTAAAATGATTTGGATATTTACACGAAATATTGAAAGTATTTTAGACCTGAATAAATGAAATATATTTTATAGGCAGGACCCAATACTAATTTGAGTATTGGCATCTCAAACCACGCAGTACTGAGTTATGTTTATGTATTCTCAAAATCAAAACATCAAAAATGGATTATTTCAGATTCATAAAAATAAATATCATAAATAAATAGATAGCTAAATTCCTTCATGTTAAATTTTTTATATTCAAAAAGGATTTTTTTCGGTATTTGACATTCTCTGAATTGATAGAACATAAATTCTAAGGGAGGTCACTTGGTTGCTAATTTCAGCGTCTTAGGGCGATAATCTTTTCTGTTTGCATTGGATTTTGGGATCACATTTATATATGTATATGTATGTATATATGGATGGCCTAATCTTTTGTTGCACAATGCCGACCACTGTGCAGAGCCTTCCACAGACCACCAAGATCCCCGCCAGCACTTGGCCCTAGATAGAGTACAAGTGGATTGTTAAGCTTACTTGAGTCTGGGACAAGCAGATGCACTCGGCTGGGCATGATTTGGATGTTTCGGTTTGTTGCGAGTTCCACAGGCAGACGACAACGGAGAGCGCAATTATGAGCACCAGCCAGGAATTGCACATTTCACGTTGTTGCTGACACGACAGTTTGGCGGCGTAATTGAGCTCTATTCTCTCTTGTCCGGCTGCACAGCTCCTCTATCTTTTTGGGTTTCTCCAGCTCCTGTTCTTTCTCTTCCCCCTTCTTCTTCTTCTTCTTCTTCTTTTTCTTCTTATTCTTTTTATTCTTATTCTTCTTCTTTTTCTTGTTTTCTGGGGGCCAAGTGTATGGCTCACCTTATTGTACCGCCTGCCAACTTGCAAGTTCTTCTGTTGCTCTTCCTTTCTTTTTTGTCGTTGCCTACTTTTTTTTGGCCTCCTCTTCGCTGGCCCCTTCCTCGGCACTTTCCTTAGTTATTTATGTTTTTATATTGCGTTATTTCATTTAAACTTTCCTTCCTCTGCTGCCGCTGCCTCTGCCGCTGCTGCTGCTGCTGTTGTCGCTGCGTCTTTTCTCCTTTATTATATATTCTTAAGCTTTATCATATTTATTTACGCTACTTCTTCCGGCTCCTGCTCCTGCTCCCTCTCCTTCGCCTTCTCCTTCTCCTTCTCGTTTGCTCCTTGCTCCTGTTGCTACGCTTTGCGGGGGCGTGGCATGCCAATAACTGCAAGAGACAGAGATAGTAAAGAGTGAGGCACAGATAGAGCTGGTTGCGAATACTGGGGATTGGGGAGATTGGGGGATTGCTAGACTGGGAGATTGCAAAATTGTGAGATTGTGAGATTGCGAGATTGGGGGACTGTCGGAGTTCGAGTTTTGCAATTTCAAAGTCCAAAGGCCGAGAGTGAAGCAATGCGACACTTAAAAGTTATGACTTACTCGAACTAAATATAAATACAATACACTTGGACGTTGCACCACATGCACCACAGTACATGGGCAGCAATGGCATACATATGTTTATGATATATGTACATATATACGAACATAGGATGAACCCCCAAAAATGTTAAAACAAAAGCTCCGTTAATTTATATGGAACCAAAGTGAAATGCACCAATTATTCCTTTGACAGCTACGGGATAAAAAAGTTGTACAGTAGTCAAACCTGATAGATCCTTTGAAAAACCCCGCGAAACGTCAATTTTAAAATCTGATTCAGTTTAACGATACAGCCATTAAGCTGGAAAAAGAAAAGTCTATATTCATATTCTTCACTGACTCACTATTGGCAATATGGAAATGATAAAATTATGGTAAATCAGTAAATATTAAGTCAATAATTTAGCTTAGTACAAAAATTATACAGTAGTTGAACCTGCTATATCCTTCCAAAAACCGCCCGAAACTTCAATTTAAAAGTCTGATTTAGTTCAACGATACAGACACTTAGCCTTTCTATTGTTAATGTGGAATTGTATTGATGTAAGCTATGAACATTTTTTGCATAATGAATTATAAATGGCTGCTCTGTTGTTCTAGTTCTAATTCGTTTAATTAAGTTAATTGGAAAGGAATGAGCCTAAGACGCCTAATGTGATCGGGTATACAATAATTTGAATAATCTCGAATGTCTACTTCAGTGCAAGCTGTGGTCGTCCTCACGTCCAAGGCTTTACTGTGGGGCAGGCCGCAGGTGGCATTTAATTTCTCTCTAACCTCTCGTCTGGTTGGCCAGCCTTTCAGATCTTGTCCGCTCAGAAAGCCTTCGACACATCCAACATTTATGCCCGGATTAGGGGACAGCCGGAAAGAGGTGACAGGCCAAGCGGCAGGACAAATGCCAGATGCCGGATGCGACAGCCGAGATGGAAGTGGAGGTTCAGTTGGAGATGCAGATGCGGATGGAAATATGAGATGCTGATGCTGTTGCTGTTGCTGATGAAGATGCAGATGTTCGATGCCTCGGACTGGCGAGTCCGCTCTCCAAATAGCTGCCTGTTAATCATTCATAATAAATAATGCCCAGGTAGGAGGTAAGTTGCTGCTACATCAGCAGCAAGAGCCGGGATGAACAAAGCCAAAGCAATATAATAACTGAAATTACTCTAAAGAGAATTTCGAATGAGGCAATGTCGCCTGCACTTGCCACTGCCACTGCCACTGCCACTGCCACTTGGAGATGAGTGGGGGCACAGCTTGTTTGAAATGTTTAAATGCACAAATCAAATATGCAGCAGTCCAAACTCCGAACGGCCAGCCGAGCACCTGATGTTAGAGGAGTTAACCCATCTTAATGCCTCCGCCGCCCCTCGAACGACCCCGTCCAAATCCTTGCTGCAGCATCGGCTTTTAATTGGACACTGAGGATGGCAAAGGCAGCAGGACATCTGAGGAGTTGAGCCTGGATACGAGCGGAGGACCGAAGTACCGAAGGAGCGGGCTGCATCAGCACAATAATAAATAAGCGCAGGCATAAATGCGTGACATTATAATTGAAAACCAACAAAGCAGCCCCAGCCAAAGGAAAGGCGGTGTCTGTCTCTCGGAGTTCACAGATGTAATTCACAGATGCATTTGCTTAAAATGGCCTAAGTGGCAGAGTATAAGCGGAAAAGCAGTCAACTTTCTGGTAAGAAACAATTAAATAGGACTCATCGAAAGAGACACAAAGTACCAGGAGTTATAGTATTCTTAGCTGCTAGGAATTAACTATTCAAAGTGTTTAAAAAAATTATCTAAGGGTTATTTGAAAAATTTTAATTATGCTGCGCTTTAAAGCATTTTGAATTTTCATTGATTATTAAAAAGCCCTATTTTTAATATTTTTGCAGCTCACTTTTTTTGCAAAATTTGAGTTCGAAAACATAAAAATATAATCAAGCCATTTAATATTAAAATAGTTAATGTGAAAATTTTGTATTTGAAATGGTTGCTATTTATTTAAAATGCATTATAATTATGTATTTTATGGTTTAACTTTAAATTCATGAAATAAAAAAATTCATGAAATGAAAAAAGTCAAATTTCATTCATACATTTTTTATAATGGGCCTCAATTCAGGTATCGGTTTTAATTTCATTTTATCAAACATCTGTAACATTGCTAGTACTCAATAAATATAGTCATGATCTCTCCTGATAGTTATTAGATTTCTGAAACTAAATAGGAAATTTGCAGTTTTTGCTATATTTTCATTTATAAATACCTCAATATAAACTTTTCTTAAAGCGGAAACCTTTTTTTAAAAAACCAACATGCGGTTGCTTTTAGACTAGCTATATTTTGTTTACTTATTTTTTCCTGTCGCAGAGCAAATTACATTTCCGATTGAACGTCTTAAGTTTGGTCATGGAACCCCCTTGCCTTCCGCAAAAATAGTTTATTGCTCTGGCGACTTAAGAAAATATTTGACTGTGTCAAGCTACGGACTGTGTTGCACCTATTCTCACAATCGCGGAGGATTGGTGGGGACTAGTGTGCTAATTCCAGGCGATAAATGCATACATTCTTTGCCAGACTTCGATTTTTTTTTTTTTTTTTTTTTTTTTGACAAGTGCAGGAAGATGGCAGAGTGCAGTTGTCAGTTGGATAAGAATGCGCGACTTCGTCTGAATCTATTCCCGTCCCAGGCAATCGCATTACTTTGCGTTGCCCTCATCTAAAAGGATAAAGCAAAATAACAAATGCCGGCACAAGCTCAAATAATGTACAGACAACAGACAGTTGTGTAAGCAAGAGCAACAGCAACAGCGGACGACGGGCGACGGGGTATGCCAACTCCAGCCAGAACTACATCGGCCTCGTAAGTGAGCTCTGGTCCTGGTCCTGGTCCTGGTCCTAGTCCTGGTCCTGGTTCTCACGTGTGTGTGTGTGTGTGTGTGTGTGTGTGTGGAATCAGGACAATGGCAAACGGCAAAGGGAATCGCAAATGTGGCAGAAGAAGCCGACGAGCTCAGCATGGCAGTCTGCGATATGGCTCAGCATCCACTTGAAACAGGAATCGAGCCAGGCATCAATGCCTTTAAATAAGCATGTGCAATATGCGGCCACCAGGACCACCACACCATGTTCCATTGCCTTTCCCATTCCCTTACCCTTTCCCACCGCTGCGGACATCGTCTGCCATTTGCAGCTAATCAATCAATTTTATTAAGCATTTTATTGAATTTACACAGGAAGAGTCGAGCGAAGAGAGAGGTCCAGACAGAAGACAGAAGACAGAACTCGGACCATGGCACAGTGGTCTTGGATTCTACTATTACTAATTTAGCAGTTCTTGGAGCAGCCGCCTGCTGTTCGCAATTCACAATGATTGGGTTGGAATCAATTCCCTTTGGGAAAGTTGAGGATAATCATAGCTACTTGCTATTTTCTCACATTTTGACAGCATTCCATTTTGTAATTCTTGGCGTCCACTAAGTCTTGTGAAGAAAAATGATTATACATTGTGGTAAAGATGTATAACATGTTCTTAAACTTTCTACCGTTGCTAGCAGATATTTAAGCCTTTTACCTATAAATTGTATTGTATCGAAATTTATTCATTTTGTAAGGATAAAATGACTCACTTCAATTGATTACTCCACATTTTTAATTCTGCAATTTCATGTGCGCATCGTCACTACGTGAACTGAGCACAGTGATTTAAGTTTCATCCAAACTTTTTACACATTAAGCCAGGAATATAAGCTGACCATATCTGACGGTTTTGGATGTGTTATTTTTAATGCAGTGCATTAATTAAAAAATTAATTTAATAAATACTTTCTAGAGTTGGTATTTTAGAATTACCAACCCTATCGGACATTTTTGAGGGTGATTAAAGTATAATGTTTATTTAAGAGTGTGAAATAAGTTATATGAGATATATTTATTAAATAACATTTTGCTAAAAGTGTTCAACTATTTAAAAAAAACCGTAGACAGAAGAATGAATCAATTTGTACAAAATGTGCGATTAGTGGAGGGGTCATTCGACTGCAGGTTATTTAAAATCAAAAACAAAACCCGCAAATTGAAATCAAAACGAAAGCAATCAGTGCAGCTGGCCCAGAATGAATGCAAACATATGCCAATAAATAAACCAAAGATGAAAATCAAAATCAAAATTTGAAAATAAATAAATAAGTTTTCAATTTACACTCTCCTTAAATTTCCCGTCCAATTCATTTGCTACAGAGACTTAACAGTTTTTTTTAGCCAACCAGGAACGGATTATTTCTGGGTAAGTCATTACACTATCCAACTGCCAAATGCTTAGATACCTACACCAAACCCTTCCTTTGGGGGAAACCTACTCGGGGTAACGAAGACCATAAAAAATGCATAGGCCTAAAATTGTAGTTGCATTCTGATATTGCTTGCATTTTACTATTGCTTACAACTTAAAAATTTCATTTAAAACTATAGTTTAGAAAACTAGCAAGCATACAGATTTAATAACGACATACAATTTACCGTACACCAACAAGAATATTTAAAACAACGATTGCGTTCTAACAAAGCTTAAGCCTAGTTATTTGGGACTCCATTTTTGTAAAACATATTTTCATCTAAAGGTTGTTTGCACTTTTTTATTAACATTAAAGTTCTCGTTTATATTCTTAAATTATAATTTTGTTGAGCTTAGCATTTGACTCTTTTTTTTTGAATAAGACTTCACAATAATTTTTATTGAAAAGTTTAAGGCAATTAGAGAACAGTTCAATATCAAAAGCAAT